ACTGCACGGCGGCGTCCACCCGCGGGTTCACCTGGACGCCCACTTCTTTGGTGTTGGCTTTGCGGAGCCGCGGGGTGAGGCCCGGGCTGACGTGTGACAGCAGCGCCTTCAGCTGCGCTCGCTTGTAAGTGTCCAAGTAATCCGGCGAAGAGACCGAAGGAGCCGAGGAAGGGGCAGGCAGCACCCCTCTGTAGGGATTGGAGATGCCGCTGCTCTTGCTCTGCTTCCAGCTCGGCTGCTTCTGCTTGGACGGTAGCCTCGTGGCTACGTTGTGGCTAGGGGTAAAGGTGCTCCCATAGCTTTGATAAACGCTGTAGGGCGGATAGACGAAGCGCTCCATGCCCGGCGAGGGAGCCTGATTTTAAGGGGCCTGCCGGCCTGCCTGCCTGCCCTAGCTTTTATCCCCCCCAGGAGAGCCGGCTGTAATTAGTGCTCATTACTAGTGGCGAAGAGCAATTAATGCTCTGCGTTAATTAGCGGAACCGTTGCACTGGCTACGTCGCTCGTAAAATGCGCTTGAAATTTACGCGCCGGAGTTGCGAGGAGTTAACCGGTCTTGGTTCCGCGAGAGTAACGCGCAGTCGCGCCACAAAGCGCTTCCCCTAAATGTGAGCTGCGAGCCGTTCATGCTGGAGCATAAGCGTTCAAAAAGAAGCGAGCAGGTTTTGGATTGAGTTCGTTATACCCGGAAAGATGAAACTATGATTCAGCAGATCCTTTGAAATTAAAGGGTATCACTTTATCGAAAAATTAATCCTTACCTAAATATTGGGGAATGGAAGCATTTACTCCAAGATAGTGCATGGATGTCAACTGGATTTTGGAGATGTAATCCAATAAACAGCTGGTTGATTTCACTCTTTACCTCCAGTTGCCATATGAAGCCCTATTCTTTACAAACCTAGTTACCAAAAGGTAGAACATCAGTTCTATTGGTCAAAATGTGATTTAGTGTGCTTTGCAAATGCAGCCAATAGTTAATTTATCATTTAATATGCTCTGTGAATCCAGGCAACTGAGTCAGTCCAGTAAACCATGGGTCCTCTGTTTGCCTGAGTATAACCAATCCCCCATTTGTCAGAAAGCATCCTGGCCAGATTGTTCATTACTAACCTCTCTGGATAGTCCTGTTATTGTTGTAAGCAGGTGGGCATATTTCAAATAGCACTGTTTTCTTTCATATGTATTTTTTAAGAATTTATCTGGAATATATGCATGTCCTTGAAGCCTTCATGGAAATAAAATTATGCTTGAGTGGTACTTTGCTTAGCAGTACATTAACTTTCCATTTAACTATTTAAATTAGAACAAGCTTTAAAAACATAAAATGATGGGGCATAGAGGCCATCACGTTGAAGATTTAGGTCCCACATCATGGTTTTACTGAAGAAATCACAATTAACTATGTTAATTCAGCATACTAAACCAAAATAAACCACGTAATGACTTATTGTTCACACAACACACTAAGTCATAATGTGATATGTTTGGTTTTAGCTTAACTATTGCAATTTGTTAAGGTTTATGGTGCAGAATCTAATGTTTTAATATGTGAGTAACAATTTCTGAGTTTACACAATATGTAAAATCAAACCATATTATAGTGTAGTATGATGTGTGTGAATCCAATTTCTGTCATATGAACATAATGGAAAATGTGCATTCCTTTGTGTCTTCATGTGTATACTCATCCAGGTTCAAGTCCATCCTCAGCTACAGAAACTTACCAGTGACTTTGGACTAGTCACTCATAGTCCAACTGACTTCAGAGGATTGCTGTGGGGAGAAATTGGAGAAGGGAGTGCTATGTATGTCTCCTTGAACTCCTGGAAGGAAAGGCAGGATATACATCTAGCAAATCAGTTAAATCTAGAAAATATAAACTTTTTTTTCATAAGAGATTTGCAGGATCTAATTCTCATTGCTATTGTAGTTAATGTACGGTAACTAAAAGAAGTGAGTACATTTCAATGGGAGAATTTGCAGCTTTCTGAAGGAGGAGGAGAGGACCTTAACATCTCGAGAGAAAAATGAAACGATCATGTGTGCCTGTCCCTGAACTTTCAGAACTCTATGGTTTGAGGCATATTTCCATTATTGCATCTGCCTTGGAATGGAAAAACAAACAAAAAAAATATTTATTTATCATATTTATATTGTGTTAAATTGCCTAAAGACATAGTATATCGTTTACATTGAAATTTAGGAACCTTAGAGGTTTTTGCATCTGCGTACTGCCATCTAGCGGGTCTCCCAGACTTTTGCAGCCCAGATCTGGTATTCCAGGTAAACATTGTTAAGAAAACGCAGCGTCATAGGCGTGCTTAATCTCATCTGCTAGAATGGGCCGGTCCTCAAAAAAAAGAAAAGAAAAACCGCAAGTTCCATGATCCTTTGAGCGCGGCAGGACTAAACCATTACAGTCTACCCACTGGCTGTTCTTTTAGTTTCGGGCGTTCACGCAGTCTCCAGTAGGAAGTAGAGGCGAGAGCTAGACTTCGCCATTCCCAGCAGGAGACCGTTTGATTTCGGCTCGTGGGGCGAATGGTCCCTAGGCAAGCCCCCGGGTTACGAGAGTGGATCAGCTGTGAGGAAGTGACTGCCCCTTCTGGAACTGCGCATGCGTTGGCGGGTTTTGGCGCCTTCGTTTGTATTTCGGAGGAAGTTGTTTCTGAGGTGACTTGGAGCCCGGCGCTTGCGGGGAGTGTTTCGCTTCTTTTCCGCTTGGCTGCGAGGGGCCTTCCTTCGTCCGTTGATTTCTGCCCTCGCTGCTTTTCCGCGGGGCTGCTCTTCTGCAGGTTCCTCTTGTTCAGAAACTCGCTGTCCCATGAAGAGAGGCGCCGAGGTGAAACGTGTGTGAGGGGAAGACGAGGGAGGACAGGTCGGGTTTTCTTCCAGGCCTGAGGATGGAGAGACCCTGTAATGCCTTGGCTCCTTCTCCGTCCGCGGGGGTGGTGCGGTCTGAAGGAATGGGACGCTGACGGTGGATCCTGTTGGGTAATTTCTGTTTGGTCGTAGCGAGATCTTGAGTAGGATGATGATGAAGATTTTGGTGCCTTCCAGTCAGTTTTTGACTCCTGGCGAGTGCCTGGACTAGTCCCTGCAGTTTTCTTGACGAGGCTTTTTTTCGGAAGTGGTCTGCCATTGCCTGCTTCCTAGGGCTGAGAGAGAGTGACTGGCCCAAGGTCACGCAGATGGCTTGGTGCTAAGGGGGGACTAGAACTCATGGTCTCCCATCTGATGCCCTTTTTTTGATTATTTTTTTATCCGACCTGTCTTATTTTTATAAATAATTCAAGGTGGTGAACATACCTAATACTCCTTCCTCCTATTTTCCCCATAACAACCACCCTGTGAGGTGAGTTGGGCTGAGAGCGAGAGAGAGACTGGCCCAAAGTCACCCAGCCGGTTTTCATGCCTAAGGCGGGACTAGGACTCAATAGTCACCTGGTTCTAGCCTGGTACCTTAACCACTAGACCAAACTGGGTCTAGGATAATTATGATAATTATATTTTTATCTCTTTTTTTAATATATAACTCAAGGCAGTGAACATACAGTACCTAATACTCCTGCCTGCTACTCACATGTTACATTAAATTAGTACATGAAGCCCTCTATGGGCTGGGCTCACACAACTTAGGCTAAAATGCATTTGTGGCTATATGTTATGCCAGCTGGTCAGTGTAGTGAAGTTAGGGTTCAGTGTGTTGTGCTAACCCAGATGACTGCAGTATTTCATCAAACTAAGGCTGAGTTAATTCTGGAAAACTTGTGTAATCATGGTGAGCCCAACTGGATGCTTATTTGTAGATAGTCTGTAAATAGAAAAGCTTACTTCCAGGCAAATATATTAGGATGGCAGCCTAACAGAATGATAGGATTAAAATGGCCCAAATAGGCAATCAAGTCTAATTTTCTACTTTGTGGAGAAATTCACATTAAAACAATAAAGAAAGAAGCAAAGGCTGTCAAGTAAGTTTGCAAACTTGTCCAGCTGAATTCAGGCCCCAGTTTTGTACAGGCTCATGTCCTTAGAACCTAGTTAGCAGGTTTGGAGGTGGGAGAAGGGGAGAAAATCTGTCTTTCAGCTTCATTCTCCATAATAGTTTTATACTGGGAATGACAAAATACAGCATTGGGCCATTGGTGCTGATTTCAGAAAAGTAAATGAAAGCTTACGTAGATATGGGATTTTGGTAATCTAGGTTGGAATACAAGTGCCAGCAAATACATATATATCAAAAAGCCTACTTGAAACATTTTTCCAACCCCTAATTTTTTCACCAATTGCCTTTGTCTTTCCCTTTGTAAATTTCAATGGCTATGAAGATAACACAGGTCCTTTCATCGAAATTCAATTTGATATTAGACTTGATAATTTTAATGACCTTTACTTTTCTTTTAGTTATATCATTTTCAATGCCAAGATTTCAAGTTCCAAGTCACAGCCAAGTTATTTCTCATCAATTGTTATTTTTAGAGTTTTGTCTCAATCTGTTGGAATTTATATTTACAGTAGTGCTTAAAAGTTCTTGAATCCTTTTGATTTTTCAATATTTTTCCATAAATATGACCTATAATGTGAGGAAAATGATCCAAAGCTACATATTTGATGGGGCAAAAGTATGTGAACCTTTGCTTTCAGTAATTGGTGTGCCCCCCTTGGGCAGTAATAACTGCAATCAAATGTTTCCAGTAACCGTTGATTCCTTCTGCATGTCGGCTTGGAGGAATTTTAGCCCACTAGAGAACAGCTTTAACTCAGGGATGTTGGTGGGCTTCCTCACATGAACTGCCTGCTTCAGATCCTTCCACAACACTTCTCTAGGATTAAGGTCAGGATTTTGACTTGGCCATTCCAAAACATTAACTTTCTACTGCTTTAACCATTCTTTGGTCATACAACTTGTGTGTTTTGGGTTGTTGTCTTGCTGCATGACCTACTTTCTCTTGAGCTTTAGTTCACTGACAGATACCCTGCCATTTCCCTGTAGAATTTGCTGATACAGTTCAGAATTCATAGTTCCATCAATGATGGCAAGCTGTCCTGGCCAAGAGGCAACAAAGCAGGCCCAAACCATAATACAGCCACCATCATGTTTCACAGATGGGCTAAGATTCTTATGCAGTGTTTGCCTTTCACCAAACATAACTTTTCATTCAAGCCAAAAAGTTCACTTTTGGTCTCAACTGTCCACAGAACATTCCTACAATAGCCTTCTGGATTATCCACGCGGTGTTTCAAAGCTAAAGATGGGCACCAATGTTCTTTTTGGAGAGTACTTGGTTTCTCCTTGCAAACTTGCCATGCATATGATTGTTGTTTAGTGTTCTGATGGTGGTATCATGAACCCTGGCGTTCACCAAAGCAGGAGAGGCCTTTGGTCCTTAGACATTACTCTGAGGTTCTTTGAGACCTCCCAGAGTATTATACACCTTGCTCTTCGTGTGATCTTGGTTGGTTGACCACTCCTAAAGAAGATGACAATGGAGTTAAATTGCCTCCATTTGTACACGATCTGCCTGACAGTGGACTGGTACAATCCAAACTATTTGGAAATAGTTTTGTAACTTTTCCAGTCTGGTGAGCATCAATAACTGTTTTTCAGAGGTCCTCAGAAATCTCCTTTGTTCAAGCCATGACACGCTTCCACATACCTGTATTGTGAAGATCAGACTTTGCTAGCAAATACCCAGAACTCTGTTCTTTAAGGCAGGACCTCCCAAACTCACACCTGATTATCATCCCATTGTTTGAAACACCTGACTCTAATTTCCCCTTCAAATGAACTGATAATCTTTGAGGTTCACATACTTTTGCCACACACCAATATATACCTTTGGATCATTTTCCTTAATAAATGAACAAATTTAGTGTTTTTGACTCATTTGTTTACTTGGGTTTTCCTTATCTAATTTTAGGACTTGTATGGAGAACAGATCACATTTTAGGTCATATTTATGCAGAAATATTGAACATTCAAAAAGGTTCACAAACTTTTATGCACCACTGTATGTTAAATCCTGGCAATTTGTTACTAGTTTAATGAATATCAGGAAGTCCTTTCAGATATCTATTCCATCCGTACTCATTACATTTGTCAATCTTGTGGCGCCTTTTCTTACAAACACATTTTACTAAAAGCTTTTCTGAGCAGCAACTCACTTTTCAATTGCATAGAACTCCTAAACTGGAGTAGGATTCTAGATTGGGATGAGGTGGGGGGGGGGAATGGAATGGAAGATAAGTTGATTATCCAGATACAGATTACAAGTAGGATAGATTAGAAGTACCTTTATCAGTTAACAGTTATAATATGTTAATATTCAGCAATCTCTTGCTCTATTGTGCTGTTAAAGTTTTTGTTTCTCTACAATGGCCTCTTTTGAGATGTGGGAGGTTGAACTGCTCTGTTATTACTCTGTTTTGAGTCCTGATGTCAAACTTGTGTCCCTTAATTCTTTTACAAAAAGTTTGTTCCATTTGACCTCACAGAATCCAGAGGGGCATTGCTAGTAGATGATAGCATATATCACATTAAAGCAGTGTTTCTCAACCTTGGGAACTTTAAGATGTGTGGACTTTAGTGCTGTGGACATAAATGTTTGCATTTCTTGTGGGGAGAGTATATAATGTCTGAACAGTCTGGAAGAAAAAGAAATAGAATTTCTGTCAAGTATGATAAATTAATGTAATTTTGAGAACACTGAACATTATTTTGCAGACTTTCTTAATTGTGCCAGCAGTGCAATGGAGAAAAAAAATGTTGACACATCTGCGAAGAAACCATCTTTGTTTGAAATATTCAAAGCGCAACACAGTGAATCAGGTACTATTTCCATTTATAACATAGATATCTAAGAAATCTATGTTGGAGTGAATATTTTCAATTTTTCAACTTTCCTTTTCTAATGTTATCTGGGCCTAAGCCTATTTTATTCCTATGACACAAATGCATTTGATATCAGATTTTGTGGGAACTGCAGTTTAAGAAACAGTTAAGATACAATACTAGTATGAAGCTTTTTCTTTGGAAAATGAGACTTACCTTTGTAACAGTACATTGCAGGTCCATTTTCTACAGCGGATACAATGTATCACAGAGTGGGTATTCCTTCTTACTTGCTCTGGAGGCAAGATTGAAATTAGTCTGATATTGCTGCTTCTGAGAGGGGATAGCTGCTTCCCCAGTTTCAGAATGACAAGTCAGAAAAAGCTTAAAGACAACGTAGGAAGATTGGCATGCAGTAAAGATGAAACTGCACAATTAACTCCAGGTATTGTCAGGGTTCCATGTTTTATCACCTTTTTTTATTATTGCCTAGCTTGGCTGTGAGCCCTGTTTGTGCTGTGTATGGATCTCTGTGGTAAATTCCATCTTTCTACAGTACCATTTTCCTACAGTGGAACCAGGGTATCCTATAGCAGGACAGACTAGAGCTGTCTCTGAGTGCAGGATCTTATAGAAGGGCCACTATTTTCTGCAGTAACTTTCTGCTGAAGAAGAGTATGTCTTCTTCTTGAATAGGATATGGAGGATCATGCAGTAGCCCTACAGATCATCCCCAAGCAGATATTAGTGTTGAAAGTTGAAAGTGACCAAGTGGCTATACATCTGGTAGAGTGGGTGTGTCTATGTGAACTCTTCTGCGCAACTCAGAAATAGTTTGTGCCTTTCTTTTTCGAACTGGGTTTGGGGCAGAAGGAAAGGAAGATCACTTCCTATCCAAAGTGGAAAACCAAATTCATCTTCATCAAATGGTTGACTGAGGGACAAAGTGAGGGTGCCCAGCCAGATAAGCAGTTGTTGGAAGTCTGCCTTTTGAAAAAGCCTGATGGGTTTGGGGACTGATTGACTGTCATCCTATTATTATTCACCTAGAGCAAACTCCCCTTATTGTTTGCTTGGTCCTGAGAATCTGAATTGGATAGCAACTGAAATGGGGGCTGTAGGTCTGCTTTCCATATGGAGGCCTGTCTTTCCTCATGAAATGATGGGCTAGCACTCACCTATTGAGGTGCAACTAAATGGAATGGACAGGGATCTGTGATACTTTCCCTCTTTCTGCTCCTCTGAGAATTGGTTCTCAGACTGATGATTTGTCTAGCAGTCATTTCCAAAACAATCAACAGATGTGGTTTATCCTTCCTTCATGAAAGAAACAACTTCCTCTTTACAATGAAAGAGCACAAGAGCCAAGACTTTTCATACTCTCTGTGTATGTATATATATAAAATTTTAATTTGAAAGTATTCACTGGAATTTCTGTCTTATTTTAATCTTCTCAATAACATAGTATTAATCACTTTGTTAATTAATCAGTTTGTTCTTAGAATTAACCTCTTCCAATCCAGGCTGGTACCAGAAGCCTGACATACTCTCTCCTCTCCTGTGGGCTGTGCTAACCAGAGAATCCTTACAGATGGCACTCCTGCCTTTTTCCTCCCTTCTTCTTTTTCCACCAGATGGCTGGTGGTCAAAGGGGTGGGCTTGTTCCAGAGAGGATATAGCCCAGTTGTGTATCCCGGCATGTACGCTGAAGTGAGGCCTTCAGGAGTCGGGAGAGACTATATCTGTTAAAGACATTGGAGCAGGCCTAGAGCTACAGGCTGCAGTTCTCCCTGTGAAGGGTAGTATGTGGGACTGGGCATCTGGCACCATCAGTTCTCATTCACTCTGGTGCCTGGGCCTTCAGATTCCTCGGAGGATTGGCAATGAGCCCGCTGGAAGCTGCAAGTACTGTGTGACTGGCAGCTCAGCCACATAGATTGCTCAGGTCATTTGTGGGAATCACAGTAGGGAGATGAGGTTGCATTGCTTGGTCCCAGCCATCAGGAAAGCTCTACAAATGTAACGGACAGCAAATTGCTCTTCGTGAGTTTGCCGGCCGTTGTCAGGTTGCTGGGTTGCTGCCTAAAACTGAAAATTATTCTTTCCGAGTACGACTCTCACAGAGATCTCATTAGCAAGATTTATTGAGAAGAAAAGGGTAGGATGACAAAACCCCCAGCAGTTAAACTGTTTCCCAGTGGGAACCAATGTATCCTTGTGTGCATGAGCCTGGATACTTTGATTCTCTTTCTAACAGCCTTCCACTGATCTGGCATGGAGGTGAATCTTTTTGCTAATAACAGAGAAGCTTGCAGTTAGTTGTTTACATAAGATTCACCTGAGTCTTTATCTAGCTGAGAACTAAGTATTAGTGAAGGAAAAAGGGGGTTTCTCAACTAAGAAAGTCTTGTTCATGTGGGTATCTAATAGGCTGTCGTGCAGAGTGATAATCACAAACACTCCTGTTTGTGCAGAGCGCAGCAAAAACTCCAGGAAAATATTAGCCATGAAAGCAAACACATCAACAGTGCAGCTATTCACAATGCAATATCCATTTCTTGTTTCCCAAAGAAATCCAGTCAAAAAATATATACTAACTGGTGTTTATTGACAAAAAGGAAAAAG